GGTTAAGGGCTTGCAGGCCAAGCCCTATGAGGAGAGACAAGGGCACCTGGACCTCTTAAGCCTCAGCAAGAGAAGGTTGAGAGGCGACCTTGTGGCTGCCTATAAGTTCATCACAGGGGCACAGAAGGGAATTGGTGAAGTTTTATTCACCAAGGTGCCCCCGGGGGTTACAAGAAATAATGGCCACAAGCTAGCAGAGAGCAGATTTAGACTAGACATTAGGAAGAACTTCTTCACAGTTCAAGTGGCCAAGGTCTGGAACGGGCTCCCAAGGGAGGTGGTGCTCTCCCCTACCCTGGGGGTCTTCAATAGGAGGTTAGATAGGCATCTAGCTGGGGTCATCTAAACCCAGCCCTCTTTCCTGCCTATGCAGGGGGTCGGACTTGATGATCTATTGAGGTCCCTTCCGACCCTAACAGCTATGAACTTACGAATACCAGAGCATGTATAGCAGAGGTGGGCAATTATTTTGGCCAAAGAGCCACTTAACAAGTTTTGGTGATCTGTCAAACAAACATTCATAATAATATATGTTTTTTAATATTTTTGTCCTGATTTATGTGTATTTGTGCTGTATATATAGAAGTGATTGTATAATAGCTTAGAATGAAGTCTTACTCTTGTATATTGTGGAGAGTGTGGAGGGGTGTGGGGGCTGAGAGTGTGTATGTGTGAAGATGTGTATGTATATGGGGTGTGAGGGAGGATGTGGGGGTATGTGTAGATATAGGTGGGTGGATATAGGGTTTGGGGGATGTCTGGATGTGTGTGTGGGGTGGGTATGGGGTTTGTGGAGGGGAAGGGTGGCTGGGGGTATGTACAGCACTGAGGTAGGCTTCCCCCAAAGGCATGCGAGTGGGTTCCGGGTTTGTGGGGTATGTGATTGTGTGTGGGGGAGGGTGTGGTTTTTGGGCTTGGGGGGGAGAGTATGTGGGGTGTGTATGGGAGCTCCCGCATGCACCCCCCTGATCTGGTCAGCCCCCACTCCACAATAGCTCAGAGCCCATGTGTCCTGCAGCACTTCTCCTGCGACGACCAACAGCGCACAGCCCCAGTGTGGCCCATGCCTGCCCCACACTGCCCAGTCTGGAGCGTCCTGCCACCCCTGGGCATGCAACAGGGCTAAGGCAGCTCCTTCTAGCTGCCAATGCCACTGGCCCCAGCTCTGCAGGACCAGTGCGCACACACCCTGAGTCCACAAGCCCTGCACCGGATCCCGGCTCACCTGTCTGGGCTGAGCAGTGGCAGCAGCAATCAGGCAGAAACTATTGCTCATAGTTTCATAGCTGTAGGGTCAGAAGGGACCTGAGCAGATCATCAAGTCGGACCCCCTGCCCTGGGCAGGAATGAATGCTTGGGTCAAACGACCCCAACTAGGTGATTATCTAGCCTCGTTTTGAAGACACCCAGGGTAGAAGCAAGCACCACTTCCCTTGGAAGTTGGTTCCAGATCCTAGGTGCCCTGACTGTGAAGTAGTGCTTCCCTGCTCGGCAGGGGGGGAAAGAGGCCTCTCCCCTTGACAGCTGCTGAGCAGTTTTTGGTGCAGCCTCCCACAGTGCACATTGCACCTGGGCATGTGGCTCTGTCACCACTGCCTCTGGGCTGCTTTGTGGCTACTCACCACTGCCATGCAGGACAACCCAGAGGTGGTGACAGAGCTGCATGGCAGCCCAGTGTTGCGTGGGCTCCAGGCAGCTGCACCAAAAACTGCCTGGCAGCGGGAGGAGGAAGGACCAATTTCCCCCATGCCAAACAACAGTTTCTCCCTGGCCATGGTCGCTGCTGCTGCACCCAGAAGGGCAAACCTGGAGCTGGCACTAGGGCCCAGGCTGAGCAGCAACCATGTGAAAGAGGAACTGTTGCTCAGTGCAGGGAAAAAGCAGCCTCTACCCCTTCTGCTGCCAGCGCTTCCTGGTTCAGCTGCTCAGAGGTCACACAGGGCTGCCTTGCATTTGCTCTGTGCTGCCACCACTGCCCCACAGGGTAGCCCAGAGGCAGCAGTGATGCGGCAGAGATGCAGGGCAGGCTCGCTTGGGTGTAGCAGTAGCCAGAAAGAGCTGCCGTCGCCCAGGCTGCCTGGAAAGGCAGCCCAGCTCCGGAGCCACCCCAGCTCCGCTGCATGCCCAGGGGGTGGCGGGATGCACTACAGCCTGGTAGCAGCTTGGCCAGGTGGGACCAAGGAACCTGCCAAGAGCCAGACAAAGCCCCTTTGTGTGCTGGATCTGGCCCACAAGATCTGGCCATATTTTGCCCATCTCTGATGTACAGACTGTGACACTTAACTGCAGAACTAATTAGTGAAGTCTGCAGTAAAGCACATGCATAGATGCACCCAGTACATAGCAGTCCAGCTGTGGTATAATATACATGATTCCAGCTTTCCTTTATTTATCTTACACTTATTCGTGAAATACAAGAATTACAAAAAAATTCTTCTAATAATTAGTAGCAAGTTGTTCCTTCTGACTCAAACCTAAGCTCAATTTCACTTTTTCCTGCAGCCCCTTTACCATCGCTAGCAGTGAAAAGGGAACTTTAACAGGCCTGCCAGGGCACAGTAAAGAGGTCTTAATGTAAAACAGAACCAGCTCTTTAGTTGGTCCTACCAATGTAGCTTCCTGCTTTTCAGCAATTAATCTTAATAGGACTGCACTCTGTCATACCTTACCATTTATGGTAACACAAATCTTCATAATAGGGAAACTGGAGTTAAGGGTTTATACACAGCAAAACAAACCGAGAGGGATCCTGGAAAGGAACATTTTAAATCTAAGTTCAGCTGCCTCATCACTGACATGGGAAGGTTTTTCACCTATCAAGATTAGTCAAATGACAGAAACTATTTTCTGCATTGAAGACTACAAAAAAGCAGCACTCAGAGAAGCCTGTAAGTACCATTCTGGAAAAGTTGTTTTTTTTTTAAATTGAGGAATGAGTCTTTTGAGAAAGATCATACTTCTAGAAGCAGCAGCCTTTCTAATCATGCAACTAACTTTGAACTTATTTTAGAAGTTAAATGCTTTTCCTCTCTCTAATACCAATCATAAAGTGACTGAATAATTCAGTTGAATTATTCAGACATGCGTGATGTTAACAGCTTGTGAATAACAGAATAAGGACTCTGTAGTTCTGTCAAGGGCAGTAAATATTAATATTAGCCAGTGTTCTTAGCTTCAGATGCCGAGTGGCTAAAATTTGCAAAGAGCCTGAGGGAGGGTGTTAACTGCACATCTCCCATTAAACTTGCATGGGAATGGGGCATCTAACTTTGAAAATCCACTCTTAAAAGCTGTGTTGTATTACAAAGAGCTGAAAAGAAGTACTCTATAAAGATATCAGAACCAATACATGCAGCAGATTCATCTTTAATCTATTAAAGATTAGAAATAAACTATTATTCTTAGACGTCTCAGTCCACTCCCAGCTCACTGTCTTTGGCAAAAAAATGCAAAAAACCTAACCCCCATGTTTTCTATCATACGAGCAGGGTTTAATCCCATATTCAAATCAATAAGATGACTACAACTTCTCTGAGGTCGCTTATCAGAACACTTTATCCTACAAGACTGGTGAAAGTGGCAATGTTTTTTTAAGACTGGCCACAATAGTATTTTTCAAGGGTAATAAAATAGGATGGCTGATAAAATGTTAATAGTGTATATAATAAACAGCTATTTTATATACAATATAGATTATAATCAGTAACCCCCAAAATGCCTTCTGGCATAAACTCAAGGTCACAGATTGCTCTGTAAATCAGAGGCAGCAGAGGCTAATGGGTCGGGATCCATTTTGAATGCTATGGTGAAGGTTGATCCAAATGATAATCAGAATGGTATATTGTGACATGGAAAATGCTGCTGTTGCTGTTCGTCCAAAAGCCAGGAGCCAAATGTTTCCATAAAGTTCAACCACTAAAAGTTAAGCTTCCTCTATTAATGATTATGTCACTGTTAATATTTACTCTTAGGCTAAACTCAAGATGGTAAGCTTGGCTCAGACTCTTCTTTTCTGCTCAGAGGGTAGGAATAGAGCTGGAGAATGCTGTGAACTCTTATTGTTTGTGATTCCTCTATCGAAGCTAGCACTATGGAGTAACCATGAAGGATGTCGCATTGTGAGCTATAGGTTACAACATCAAAAAGGATGTTGGGGTTGGGTGGAAGGGGGGCCAGGTAAGGTGGAGACATGGGGAAGACCTCCCATGGAGTATGAAATTCATCTACTAATCAAAACTGGGTATTCAGTTCTAAACCTAAGCAGATGGCATCCCCAGGACGATCACCAGCAACTGTCAATGCAATGATTATACATTGACATTGAATAGCTAATGTACTGTATAATTTAACTAGACTGAATAGAAAGATGGGAAAGATGTGAATATTAGAAAAAGACGAAGATTATAATTTGCTAATAATTATGAAGGCATCCTAGGAATTTCAGAGCTAAGGATACATTGTGATTAGTGCTTAAAGCAGAGCTAACTTCCCTATGTTCATGTCTTCAAAATCAAATACAGGCAGTCCTCGCACTTACAGCGGGTTATGTTCCTGAAAAGGCGCTGTAAGTGGAAATGATGCAAGTCAAATCTGATTTTCCCATAGAAACAGGGAATATAATAGGGGGTTACATTCCTGACCAAGCACCTGATGCCCAACTTTTTATAGAAATGACCATAAACACCATATTTAACACCATATTTAAATCAACTCAACCCATAACCCTGTGTTGACAGGAGTGGTGAGCCAGCAAAAGAGAGCAAGCTAGGGCAGGATGTCAGTGTGGATGGAGCTGGTGTAGGAACCAGCATGGCCCCAGCACAATGGAGGTGTAGCAGGGCAGCTGGGGCCAGGGCAGTGCATGGGACAGTGTTGGCTGGAGAACCCAGCTGCCAGCTGCAGCAACAGCTATTTCTGGGCCCCTCCCCACACGAGGCACCTGCCCCACAACTTACACTGCTGACCAGAAGGGAAGAAACCTTTCTCCGTTGAACTAAGAGCTCTACCTGGGAGCCCTGCATGCAGCCGCCCTGCTAGGAGGCAAGGCACCAACCCTGGTCTCCCCCACCCCAGGGCCACCTAGGCCCCAAGACAGGCTGGTGCTCTTGCCCCTTTCTCAGGTCGTGGAAGCGCCATGTGTCCCCAGGCAGATGGTGGCATCCTGCTTTAGTGCCTCACCTACCTGGTGAGTAGCACAGAGGGCAGGAAATTTGGAGGTACTCACTACTGCCACTGTGCCCCACCGCGGCTTTGCCCCAGCCCCGGTGGCTTCGCAGCCACACAGTCCCGGGCTCCTCCTTGGCTGGGCGCAGATCCCAGGGCAGGCGGAGGTGACCTTGGCAGTGACTGCCCAACCCCCAGCACAGAGCTCACCCAGGTACCGCAGCCATAAGTCCCGGAGCGGGTCGCGGGCTGGATGACATGTGGTGCTGGATCCTTGCACTTATTGCATGCCCTAAGTGCAAGGATCCAGCACCACAAGTAATGACATGGGTGTAAATAGCGGCACGCCACAAGTGCAGATCGCCGCAAGTCGGAACAATGCAAGTCAAGAACTGCCTTTACATATTATGCCATCCTGAACCAATTGCATTTTCCACAATATTTAATTTGATAAATTTTTACTAACATTGGCAGAGAAGAAACATAGTGAAGGGGTTTTTTTTGTTTGTTTTTTTAATGCCACCCCTTATGTAAGACACCAACATAAAATAAAGAATAGAAAAGGATGAATCAGAGTTTACAAGCTGTAAACCTTGAGAGAGATAGTTATATCATGCCCAAATTATAAACATGTTTCTCCACACACACAGCATTCATCTGCATTCCAACTTAGAAAATGTAGGGATTTCAGTGTTAACAAGCAGTAAAACATCTGACTGATTACTTGTAAATGGAAGGGGTTAAAAAAGTACAACAGATCAATTTCAGCGATCTGTCCCAACTTTTCTTTATCTTTAACTTTTCTGTCCCATTTCACATTCCCAGCTCCTCCTCTCAAGGAATCCCTGCATACAAACTGAATACAGCTTTATTGTTTTTACCACACAACTTGATCTACTTACTCAGTTTACAAGGAGTGGAAAATAAAAAATTAATTTTGTGATTTATTTTGAAATTCCATTTCAGCTGCCGTAAACTGGCACAGCAACTCAAGTGTCAGTGCAGTAACACAGACTTATAGCGCCAGAGAATTTGGCTCACTATGTTGCATTTATATCTTTTCCGTTAACATTTCTAGCATTGTATATATGGGTTTATTTTGTAGCAGAGCAGCAGTTTGAAATGCATGAGGAATTTTAAGTGGCAGGATCACTCAAAAAGTTAGCAAGGTGCAAACAGCCATTCTATTTCCTGTTTATACCACCTCACTTGGTAACTTTGGGCAAATCACTTACTTTTTTGGTATCTCAATTTGCTCATTGATCACCTGCCTCAATGGGATATAGTGGAAGCTTAAAAAAGCAAGCAAGTTGAGCTGTGCGATGCAAGATCCAACAGACATGCAAATTTACTGATGTAGAAAATATCCAAACTGATTGAGTTGAGAATTACAATTCTTATAACATTCTTTATTTACTGTGTCCCAGAGTTTTTGGTTTCAATGTCATGATACACAGGATAAATGGAATATTTGACCATATTTACTCCTAACTGGGAGTACACTAGTATATACAGATGGAAACAATATGGTTGGGAAAAATATTTTCTTCTGAGGCCATGCTGGTGGGTCCACTAGGTGCTGTATCACTCTCCTGGAGCACTGAAGTATAATCGTTTGCTGTGAGCACAACAGCAAATTCCATACAATTCACAGAGATTGCTGAAAATTTCCCACCAACATATTTTAATAAAAACAATAGTTCTTTTGGGTTATTTGTTCCTGGTGGAAACCTAAGAAATCTGTTAAAATTAAAGGCAGAAACTATGTTAAGATTTGTTGGACCCAAACTAAAATAGATTCATAGATTCATAGATGTTAGGGTCGGAAGGGACCTCAATAGATCATCGAGTCCGACCCCCTGCATAGGCAGGAAAGAGTCTAGATGACCCTAGCTAGATGCCTATCTAACCTCCTCTTGAAGACCCCCAGGGTAGGGGAGAGCACCACCTCCCTTGGGAGCCCGTTCCAGACCTTGGACACACTAACTGTGAAGAAGTTCTTCCTAATGTCCAGTCTAAATCTGCTCTCTGCTAGCTTGTGGCCATTATTTCTTGTAACCCCCGGGGGCGCCTTGGTGATTAAAACCTCACCAATTCCCTTCTGTGCCCCTGTGATGAACTTATAGGCAGCCACAAGGTCGCCTCTCAACCTTCTCTTGCGGAGGCTGAAAAGGTCCAGTTCCTCTAGTCTCTCCTCGTAGGGCTTGGTCCGCAGGCCCTTAACCATATGAGTGGCCCTTCTCTGGACCCTCTCCAGGTTATCCGCATCCTTCTTGAAGTGTGGCGCCCAGAATTGCATGCAGTATTCCAACTGCGGTCTGACCAGCGCCCGATAGAGGGGAAGTATCACCTCTTTGGATCTATTCATCATGCATCTGCGATGCACAATAAAGTGCCATTGGTTTTTCTAATGGCTTCATCACACTGCCGACTCATGTTCATCCTGGAGTCCACTAGGACTCCAAGATCCCTTTCCAATTCCGTGCCACCCAGCAGGTCATTCCCTAGGCTGTAGGTGTGCTGGACATTTTTCCTCCCTAGGTGCAGCACTTTGCATTTCTCCTTGTTGAACTGCATTCTGTTGTTTTCTGCCCACTGGTCTAACCTGTCTAGGTCTTGCATCTGATGGATGCAATCAGGTGATATAATTTAAATAAAATTTACTGTCTGTACAAAGGCAGTAGACCTTAGCTCCTGAGAGGAAAAAAATCACTTTACTATTTTTATGAACATTTCAAACATACTTCAAAAGTAAATTATAACTGGGTTAGCTAAAAAGGCTGTAGAGCAGGATGATTCTTCTAGTTGTTGCTCAAATGCTACATACTTTTTTTACAGACTTTCCTGAAGGAACGCTTTGACAATGAAGAAATTAAACCAGATTTATGGATGTCCTTGGAAGGTGGAAATGCTTGTACTGAATGTGGAATTCTAGCAGAGGATACAGCTCTGTATTTTGGAGGCACTACAGTAAGACAAGCTGTCACACAAGACCTGGATCTGAGGGGTGCCAAGTATGTCATGTTACCAGCTAGAATTTGACATAGCTGATGTGTTCTAACAGAGGGCTTCATTAATAATAATAATAATAGAGATCAGATTGGTAACAAACATATAAATAAACAGTAACAGATAAGGCAGCTTATGGGAATGATGATACTGAACTTTTCACTTCTAAGCGACAGTTCAGAGTCATCTCTGGTAGACAATGACAAATGGTTCTTATTTTTACCATCAACTGGAATTTTTTCACTGACATTTGTGAAATGAGTCATTATTTATTTTTGCGGAGTATCTTGCTGCTTTGTAGGTATATGATAAGAAAAGGTCCTTACTCAAAAGAGTTTAGAACTTATAGACAAAGTTTAAGAGCAGTGCAGTGCTGGTGACAACTGTGTTACAACCTCAACTTCACAACTGACACCAGCCGGTACTCTGGCTGCCAGTCTCAGCAAAGAGGTGAAGAACTAAGTGGGCATGAGGGAAAAAATGTGTATGTGCCTGTGCTGTGCCCATTCTATATATTGACAGTATTTGAGAGGGTCACAGCAGCACATCTCACAAACACCCAAAAGGTTTTCAAAAAATAAGTAAACAAAAGTATTTACTTAAAAAATGCCAATTGTGTTTATTTATGTTCGGCTATAGGAGAATTGGATTTAACCAAGTATCATGTGAGTTCTGGGTAGGGCATGCACTACATTGAAGAAACAGCTATTAAAAAAACCCCTAGAGACTTCTTCCTTAGCATGAGAGTGGTGTAGACAGGAGCTAATTTGAGTATATCATACAGATTTTTCTAAGTGAAGCTGAAGCATTAACATTTAAAAAATGGCCAAGGGAATTTCCTCTTACGGCCTCTCTTCACTGAAGGCCATGGGGAAAGAAAAGCATGAGATTTGCCAGACTGTTAAAGGAACAAGTCTCTGTGGTAATTTGTAACAAAATGCCATGTCCTGCCAACATTTACAGACGTGAATGGCTTTTCTCGGGTAAGTAACTCCACTGAAATGAGGGAACATATGGAAAATAATGTGCTTAAAGTGACTACAGAATTGGGCCTTAAAATGTTCCTGTGGCTTTTTCTTTCCCTTTAAAAATCTGTATTTAGAAACCTGTGTGAGTGGTGGGACTTTGCCATCTGCACGTCCCAGCAGATGTCCGGGTAGTTTAGGTCCCCCATAACTACCGCCTCTTTAGCTTTTATGGTCTCCGAGAGCTGCCTCAGGAGCCCCGAATCTATTTCTTCCCCTTGATGTGGGGGTCTGTAGCAGACCCCTATCACCAAATCCCTTTCTCCTTGCCCCCCATGTAGTCTAACCCACAATCCTTCTACTTCCTCATCCTTGGATTCCGTTTTGATGAGGGTCGATGTATATTGCTCATTGACATAGAGCGCAACCCCCCCCACACACTTTTTTCCCCACCCTGTCCTTTCTGTACAATCTATAACGCTCAATATGTACCGCCCAGTCGTGGGATGAATCCCACCAGGTTTCCATTAGCCCCACTAAGTCGTAAGTGTTTTGTGCAAGCAGGAGCTCTAGTCCATCCTGCTTGTTTCCCATGCTCCTAGCATTAGTATATAGGCACTTGAGCCCTGCGACTGGTGCCTTTGCTGCCCCCCTGCTCCGAGTCCCAAGGGGCCCCTTGTTTCTTACCTTCTCGTTTCTTACCTGTGCCTTAGTGTTGGCCACCCCATGGCTTGCAGGTTCCCAATGCTCTCTTTCTTCAGGCTGGGCAAAAATAGTTTGCTTTGTTGAAGTAAGCAAACTGCTTTATCTTATTATGTTACAGTGCCTCATAGAAGTGCTTTGGTATCCTATGTCCTTGCTCTACCTTATGGACTGTTCTTCCATATTGCACTGTAGTCTCCTCTCAGATCAAATTGCATAGTAGGAAACACATAACTGCAGCTTTGGTTAAATATCAGATTGATTCAAACAAAAAAAAAGCCTATTTTGTTTTGGGAATGTTGGAATCTTTTATTTTGGCATTCTTGGTAGAATTGTTTGGAATTTTTGTTCCATGGAAAAAATATTTTTTTCAATTTTTTTGTCCCAATTTAGGACAACAAATATTTGAATATTTGAATTGTGTATATATAAAACAGAAATTTTTGTTTTCACTCATCTTTAACAGCCTCGTTACAATGAAGCATATGGGAAAAATTAGCACTGACCTTGGTCAGCTCTAGATATTCTATGTATTTGCTCCCATAGATCAAGAGAACACAAGTCTTGGACACTATTCCCAAGGACTAGACTCCACATGGCTTCATGGAGTTCTGTCTCTACATCACAAGGCAATAACCAGGTATTGCTTATTTTGTATCAATCATCAACTTTAAGAATATGTGTTTAGTTTAGAAATGCAACACAATGTACTTGAAATGTACTTGAACTTCATTGTATTCCACAGTTGTAAGATGTTACTCTTCCTTATAGACTATTTCTAGCATGCCTCTAGGTTCAGATTAATACTTCAATCCTAGTTAGAAAAGCACATGTGCACCTTTAGGCACATGTTTAAGACCTATTGATTTTAACTTGATGTTTACCTTAGTGAGACATAAGGAACTGACTATTCACCTGGCTAAACAGCTCATATTAAGTATGAAATAACTGCTTTGCTGAACTGAGGACCCTGTAACTGTTTTAGGCCAGGTACAGCAGACATTGCACTTTTAGTGGTATAAACACTCAGAAACTGGTCTATACCTATAACAGAAAAGAAGTTTGGCAGACACAGAGTGGTAAATGGCAGAACCCAGTCTAAGATTTGCCCATCCACCAAAGGGAAACAATGTTAATTTTGCTATCAATCTAAACTACACCGCTTAAAGAAAACTGCATAATTTAGCTCAATCCCACCTTCGTTTTTCTGAATGTCTGTATCTAGCCTCAAGCACCTTTTGAGGTTCACTCAGTATGGTTGTATACCAGGGGTGTCCAACATTTTTGAATGTGGGGCCAGATCACAAACTTTTTATCATCCAGTGGGCCAGCGAGCCATATTCAAAGACCTCACAGGAAGTGGTATCCCATCAGGAAATGATGTCACGTGACCTTTGACACCAATGAAGTTGCAGGAAGTGACAATGAAATGGGTCTAACCTTTATAGCATCCACTCGACCTGAAGGGATGTGGGCAATGAAGTCCCCCAGGGCTCGGTCTTTAGGCCCACACTGTTCAATTTCTTTCTTAGCGACTTGGACGAGGGGGCGAAAAGCACCCTGTTCAAATTCGCTGACAACACCTAGATTTCAAGCAAGGTGGGCACGCTAGAAGGGAGAGACAGGATACTGCTGGACCTGGACAGGTTACAGGGGTGGGCAAATGAGAATCGGATGGGATTCAATACTGACAAGTGCAGGCTACTGCACTTAGGCAGGAAGAACCGACAGCATACCTACAGGCTGGGGAACTCCCTTCTCGAAAGCACAGTGGCAGAAAGAGATCTTGCGGTCATTATTGATTTCAAAATGAACATGGGCTGCCAATGTGAGGACGTGGTCAGGAAGGTTAACCACACCTTGTCATACATCCACAGATCCATCACGAGCAGGTCCAAGGAGGTGATCCTCCCCCTCTATGCAACCTTGGTCAGGCCCCAGCTGGAGTACTGCACCCAGTTCTGGGTGCCGCACTTCAGGAGGGATGTGGACAACATGGAGAGGGTCCAGAGGAGGACCTCCCGCATGATCAGGGGGCAGCAGGGCAGGCCCTATGAGGAGAGGCTACGGGACCTGAACCTATTCAGCCGTGACAAGAGAAGGCTGAGGGGCACCTGATGGCCATCTATGAACTTACCTGGGGGGACCAGCGGGGAATGGAAGAGACCCTGTTCCCATTCCCCACTAAAAGCGCCTAGAAGAAAAAAAATATACTGAAGTCCCTATAGCTAGGGTAGCAAGCAGGGAATCTTTTAGAAAATCAGTGCTCCTAGCCATAGCGGTCTGACAGTGAGCTGCTAAAACAGACAGTTCAGTAAGTGACCCCAAAGCATAAAACAGGGCAGTTAAAAAAATGCTGGCTTTTATGCAGTTTTTCTATCCCTCCTCCAGAGCACTGGGGTTGGAAGGGACCTCAGGGAAGGGTGACAGTCACTGGCCAGCTACACAGTCAATAATAAGAGCACTCCTCCACCCACCACATCCCCTGCGCTCCCTCTCCCTCTCCTTACTTTACTTTCTCTCTCCCTGCAGGCAAGGATTTGAAAGCAAGCCCCAGCTTCTTGCTTGAAACTCAAAATGTTTTGAATGTTTCGACCTGCCCTGTTTTGTTTCTACAATGCTTAAACGCTGCCTGTTTTGTTTTGACTTCACTGTTTTGAGGTCAAAATGGGTCAAAACAGCGTCGAAACAAAACGAGCAGCAAAATTTCGCACAGCCCTAGTGTCCATTCTTCTGCAGCCTGTAAGACTGCAGCAGTGTGTGGAAGAGTTGAAAGGTGATACAGAGAAACAGGTGAAGCAGCTGAAAGATCCTCAGTGTCACATGTGTGTTGAAGCTTTGCAGATGGGCGTTACACAAAAGACAACAGCAGAGAGGAATCAGTCAACAAATGAATGTGGGAAGTCAGAGAGCAAAGCAGAGCAGAGGTTGATGGAGCTCATCTGGGTGCAAGAGCAGGCAGGAGGGGCAGAGCCAGAACCATGTCAGTGGGTCGGTTCAGCCTTCAAGAACTCCCAATCCCCACAACTGTCCCGGCAATATGAATGTGGAAAAAGCTTTTTAAATGAAAATTCTGAGAGAAATTGTCCCTCTGAAGGAAAAAAACAAAACAAAACAAAACTGCTTTTTAAAATGGCAATGTGGTTAAAATTGTAACAAGGGTATTGGCATCCCATGAGCTCACATTTAAAAAAAAATTGTAAAGGTTCCCATTTCAATTGCCAAAATGGGCCTTTGAAAGAATAAAATACATATAGATAATTCTTGTTATTTAATATGTATATAGAAGTAATATCCCAAAAATGTGTACATTGCCACTGTACATGTTAGTATTGTAAATATGATTTTACTCCAAGGAGTTTTGTGTGTATGCTGCTTTTTTTTTTTTTATAGAAGCTATAGGGTAAAATTCAATCCAGTAGCAAAGGTGACTGATAGAGCACAAGGCCTTGTTACCATCAACAGCTCTTCCTCATCTAAGTGACAGCTTTATTACTAAAACAAAAATGTGTTTGTTTGTTTTGTGTTGTTTGGTTAAGTTGTCAAAAGTTTAAACATATATGGATATCATCAGGATGCGATACAAATGGTTGATTTTTATCTACAAAAAATTGAATTTGTCTGTGGATCCCAGACCAGAACACTTTTGTCCAGCTTGGACTGGAAGATGGTCTTAATTTTTGAAACAAGGGACAGCAATTCATACAAAAGTTTTGAGTTATAAATTCTATTTGTGTAGCAAAATGGCATTTATTAAAAGAGAATGTGTGTGTTTTTTAGCAAGACAACTGACAAGGGGTTTTTAAGGCTATAAAGAAAATCTTGTTTGAACTGAGATGCTATTTCCAGCACCAATATAGCAGGATGTGTGAGAAGCTGCATTAATTAACTTGCAGGTTTTTGTTTCCCCTAAAACAACGGGTCAAGGCTTCCCTGAACTTAGAACCTCTGCGTTTAAAGTATGGTTAAAATCAAAACTAACTTTGGTTCAGCAATTGTGCAGTGTTGTTTGGGTAGCTTTGGTAAACTCAAAAGGTAAGTTTACCTGTTGCAATTCAAATTATTAAAGGATATCTTATAAATTGGCCAGTATATAAATAATAGCAAATGCTTTTGAGGGGTATATATTCCGTCTGAAGAGGCACACAAGTTTTATGGTAAATGTCAAATACGATCTTGGTGGTGACAAGAAGCTTCAAAGGCGTATGAACCCATACCACGTTGTATTCAAGAAGTGTGGGAACTTCACAGAAGAGCTGGGCAGCGGGAAGCACTATCCCGCGCAGCTCCGACCCTGCTTGGCTCCCAAGCACAGAACAGCAGGATGAGTACCGCTTCTCCTGCGGAAGGACCTGCTTCCACCCGACACCGCTCCGCCTCGCCCCACTGGGCCCTGCAGGCAGTGCCAGGGGACCGGCAGTCCCGGCATGTCCTACAGTCGTGGAGCTCCGTGTTGGTGCCCAGTGCCCGGGCTGGTCCTTGTGGGCGCGGCTGGGTGTCAGTGGGGGGAGGCTCTGGCCCAGCACATTTCTGTGGATGAGCCGTGGCCGGGTGCAGAGCTTCTCCGAAGTGAGTGCCTGCGGGTCGTGCCCGGGCTCTCCCATCCCCTCCCTCCTGTGGGACCCTTGCTCCCCCGGCCTGGCCGCACTGCCCCACGCAGCTCCAGGCCCTATTCGGCTCCCAAGCACAAAAAAGCAGGCTAAGCACAGCTTCTCCTGGGGAAGGACCCGTCTGTACATGTCCCCACTTCCACCCACCGCCAATCTGCCTTGCTCCACCGGGCTCCATTGCCAGTGCCAGGCCCAGCTCCCTCGGGCGCGGAGCTCCGTGTCAATGCCCGGTGCAAGCCAGGCTGGTCCTGGTGGGACGGGAGGAGCCCGGCCGGGTCTTCACCAGCCAGCAGAAGCAGTGGCAGAACTGTGTGCTGCTTGGGACAAGATGAGCCTAGCCGGAGCAGCAGAGGATCAGCTGCATTTCCCCCCTGCCTGCACCGGTCAATCCTGAGCAGCACATGGCTCCAATGCCACTTTTGCTGGCCGGTGCCGACCCAGCCAGGCTTCTCCTGCCCCCAGCAGCACATGGGAATCCGGCTTCAGCTGTGTGCTGCTCCGGATGGGACAGACCCACCTGGGTCGGCACCAGCCAGCAGAGGCGGCGGCAGAGCCGTGTGCTGCTTGGAACTGACCAGCACAGGTAGGGGGAAAGTGTAGCTGAGCCCCTGCTGCTCTGGCCGGGCTCATCCAGTCCTGAGAGGCACTTGGCTACTCCTCTTCTCACATGCACCGCATTGGCAACGTCAAGCTGACGCAGTGCGTGTGGGAACCTTGTCCCTTCCCCAGCCCTTCAGCAGCCATTAGGAAGCTGCTGAGGGGCTGGGGGAGGGACAAGGGGTGGGAACGAAAGTAAACTGTGTTTACTTTCGTTTCCTGTCGTAGCACCACGGGCCACAGAAAATGTGTTGGCGGGCCGCATGCTGGCCTGCGGGCCGTATGTTGGACAAGCCTGATGTATACAATCAATAGTTGCTTCCTTTTATGCTCAGCCAGGAAAAGAACAGTACACTCTGATGTTGCAGTTGATGTCATGTGGACAGACCTTTACATTTGCTGACATCAGAGTGGAACTGCTCAATTGCAAGGATTCATCCGTGTTCTAATTAAGCACAATTCAGCATATTTCCCCTCTTTCCTACCTACCATGAAACCATTCGGAGACTTTCAATCTGCCAAGAGTATGTCTGCAAATAGTGTATACAATTTTACATTAACAATTTAGAATGGTAAAGACCAACTACAGCAGGGTGGCCAAGATTTTGCTGATGGGACTCCTCATGGGTCTGGAAAGTTGGTAGTGGGGGAACAATGGCAGTGTTAAATGCTACAGCTCCCAGAGCCATGACAATTAATGCTGCTGCCACTCCTTCATCTGCCAGATTTCCTCACCTAAGGGGAACCCTGCAAGCCCATGCACCAGTTTCACATGAACCACTGAATTGTATATACTAGGTGTATCTACACCAGATGCTTATTGTTAGCTCTGCAGTAAAACATCACCATCTACATGAGCGCTGGTATTATGTCAGAATAAACTAATTCACTTCACCATAGGATAGTACTGCCCAACACAAGTACTATTTTATGCTTGAGTTATTTACTCCATCACAATGTATATGTAGATGCTTACTGGGATTGGCTGGGACATGAGGACATTAGTGTGGGGCTATCTGCCAGCTAGCCCCACAATGCAGCCCTCTCATGCCCCTGCCAGCCCCTCCACAGCACATTGAGCTGGGCAGGAGCAGCTCCAAGATGGCAGGCTGACACCCCAAGATCCCCTGCTAGTTGGGACTTCACTGCCCTGGCTCAATGTGCTGCGGCCCCGGGCACACGTGTAAACACTGGGCCCAGGAGCAATCAACTCTGGTGCAAACTTATTGTGTCAAATTCATTTCACGTGTAGATGTGCCCACTGTGAATGGGCTGACTCACAAAAATAGTGTTCTTTCTTATTTGCATCATAACATTACAGATCAATCATACTGATTTGGCAGATAGTATCTTTTAAAAGTAGCCATTTTCAGAACTCATTTATTTCCATTATTTATTACACCTCTAGAGAAATCAACATCAATTTCAGCAAAGTTATTATTTAGACTCTTACCTAGCAATGAGGCATACAGAACATGCCAAAACATTAAGTTCAGTCCTCCTTCTGTTCTCAGTATTTCACTCGATATTTCCCACTATTGCACTACTGCTAGTAGTAGCTGTAAGAGGAGGAAAGGTAGTAATATTAACAGGGTTTTAAGCACTGTTTTTGTACCATGACCACATTGGGTTGAGATGATGACATAGGAAGTTTATGCATCAGGAGGGCACTAGAAGACTCTCTCTGTAGTTCTCTCATCATTCCCACAACTGGTTATTATACATCAGTGAGTTATTTTAAAGAAAAGGAATGAGTCCTTTTATAGAAAAGGAATGAATATGGATACAGCAAAAATTTGTGTCAAAGCAAAAATGTATGTCCCCAAAAGGTTCAACACACTGTAATAAGCAAATTGCATTTCTGTTCTGGTCACTCTATTTCTAGTGAGAAAAATGTGCAAAGAAAAATGTGGTTTAGTGTAAAAGTGTTCTATTATGGGACATTTTATTCATATTTTGATAATATACTATAAATAGTAATATATTAATTGTTATATACATCAGTACTTACTAGTACATATTTCACAGAATACTATATAGTATACAAAAAGCAGCATAAAGTGGATTATATATGTGCTAGATATGGATATAGATTATTCTTTAACAAAATTTCAGGAAAAGAGATCAGTTTTGTTCTAAGCTATTTCCTAGCCCAATTTTTTTCCTCCAACAAAATGACACCAAACACTGAGAAGTTTTACAAACTATACAATTCAGAGCAGAAAGTGATGTTTGTCATAATAAAAATGTACAAAGTTTTGACAACAGGTTTGCTTCAAAATGGGGACATTTTTTTTTTCCAAATGGAATACATGATATTTCTTCAACTAGTAAGAAAACTGTACCAATTTCTGCAACCATATTTACCTGCCTTTTTATTTCTCTCCAGAACCTGAAACTGCAGAATCCATAAAACTAAATCATGTTGGCCAAAAAGTTGGTGACCGCACAGAATCGAGGGGAAAACAGGGCATTATGCCTGGGACTGGGAATGGCTGCCTGCTCAATGGTGATGTACTTTTTCATTGGGATCACAATTGTGCCATTGTACAATAGCAGGTAATTATAGTCCTTTTTTATAAATGTTATAAAGGCTATGTCTTTTTATACAGCCTATGTCTTTCCACTGTCAGCACAGGCATTGCTTTAAATAATGACCACATTCCAAATGTATTAGGTATGTTATAGAACAAAAAAAGGATACCATCTTAAAGAGGTTTTCAAGCTAATTATACATCATGAGAGAACTGAGAAGAGTGAAGGTAATGAGTAACCCTGAAGAGTGCATGTAGTTCTAGTATTTACACAAAAACAGAAAGTCATGCTCTCAGGATTAGCATATGAGCTGTTTAGAGAGATATTCTCATTTTCTGTTAAAAATGCAAAAATATTTTTTTCAATATTTTTGTACATTTCTTCATTTCACATTTTTCATTGATAAACAAAAAACAGAGTTTTGTTAAATGGAAGTTTTAAGCTTTGAGTTTTCTTGTTTTTTAAAAAAGACATATTACATTCGAAAATATTTAATTAAACAAAAATCAAATTGCTCAAAATCTCACCCCGTTCTCATTAGGAAACTGGGGGACTGTGGCGTAGACACCCACACAGTCCAATGGGTCGCCAACTGGCTAGAGAGCCGCACCCAGAGGGTGGTAGTGGATGGGTCCTTCTCGGCCTGGAAGGACGTGGGCAGTGGGGTCCCGCAGGGCTCGGTCCTCAGGCCGGACCTGTTCAACATCTTCATCAGTGATTTGGATGAGGGGGTGCAAAGCACCCTGTTCAAATTTGCTGATGATACCAAGATGTGGGGGGATGTGGGCACAATAGAAGGGAGCAACAGGCTACAGTCGGACCTTGACAGGTTACAAGGATGGGCGGAGGAGAACAGGATGGGGTTCAACACAGACAAGTGCAAGGTGATGCACCTGGGGAGGAACAACCGGCACCATACCTACAGGCTGGGGAACTCCCCTCTTGTCAGCACGGAGGTGGAAAAGGATCTTGGAGTCATTATTGACTCCAAGATGAACATGGCTCGGCAGTGTGGGGAGGTGGCTAGGAAGGCCAACTGTACCTTGTCGTGCATCCACAGATGCATTTCAAGCAGGACCAAGGAGGTGATCCTCCCCCTCTATGCGGCACTGGTCAGGCCGCAGCTGGAGTGCTGCGTCCAGTTCTGGGAGCCGCACTTTAAGAGGGATGTGGACAGCATCGAGAGGGTCCAGAGGAGGGCCACTCGCATGATCAAGGGACAGCAGGGCAGGTCCTATGAGGAAAGGTTACGGGACCTGAACCTGTTCAGCCTCCACAAGAGAAGGCTGAGGGGGGATCTTGTGGCCTGCTATAAACTAGTCAGGGGAGATCAACAGGCACTGGGGGAGTCCCTGTTCCCCCAAG